CTTTCCTTCTTTGCTCCATGTCTGCATCCACATCTCCTCCCTCTCCTCCTTCCTCTCTCGTCTTGTCTGATCCTTCCAGCCTCCTCCTCTTGCTCGACCTCCTGCTGCCGTCTACCGTCATGGCTTTCCACCCGCACTCCCAGTCATCTCCCTCATACACCAGCACCACCGCAACAAATCCTGAACAATCCTACCACCCTACGCATTCCTGCTCAAAGTCCTATAGAAAGTACCCGTCCTCATATGACACCGGTAAGACTCTGAGGACCCTCTTGAGTTCCGACCACTGGCTCCGAGACCCGGCTTTGAGTGAACCCGGCGGTGAAGCCTCGGAAGTGCGCGGCCCGGGCCCGGGCCCGGGGCATTCAGGCTGAGTTCTGTGACAGCGTCTTTACTCAAAGATAAGTTAAGGCCACTACTGTACTGGCCGGACCGTACCGGGTCTGATCCGACTGAGACTCAAACTGACAGTGGTCGGGCGCCCCTAGAGTCGGACGGCGCCCTGTCTCTATTTATTGGGGACTGAAGGGCCTTCCTTTCCTTCTTTGCTCCATGTCTGCATCCACATCTCCTCCCTCTCCTCCTTCCTCTCTCGTCTTGTCTGATCCCTCCAGCCTTCTCCTCTTGCTCGACCTCCTGCTGCCGTCTACCGTCATGGCTTTCCACCCGCACTCCCAGTCATCTCCCTCATACACCAGCACCACCGCAACAAATCCTGAACAATCCTACCACCCTACGCATTCCTGCTCAAAGTCCTATAGAAAGTACCCGTCCTCATATGACACCGGTAAGACTCTGAGGACCCTCTTGAGTTCCGACCACTGGCTCCGAGACCCGGCTTTGAGTGAACCCGGCGGTGAAGCCTCGGAAGTGCGCGGCCCGGGCCCGGGCCCGGGGCATTCAGGCTGAGTTCTGTGACAGCGTCTTTACTCAAAGATAAGTTAAGGCCACTACTGTACTGGCCGGACCGTACCGGGTCTGATCCGACTGAGACTCAAACTGACAGTGGTCGGGCGCCACTAGACTCCGACGGCGCCCTGTCTCTATTTATTGGGGACTGAAGGGCACGGTTGCAGATTCTTCAGGATGCTTTCCTGATTAAGAATGTAGCACATGGATGTAGCCATTGATCACAGATCATGCGACACGTAGTAGCAGATCTGAGCAGACTCTTGAAGGACGTAGCCGGTGATTGATCATTGATGACCGGCCGTGTCACTGGCCCGGGCTCAGCAAACTTACCGGACCAACTTGCAATCTATACAGGCGGTCTCGCTGTAAAGTTCACTGTGTCAGTGTCGATGATTCGTTGCCAAGTACCGCATCATTGTGAATCACAATCACATTAGAATTCTTTGCTGTCATTATCTCTTTGTAACATACTTGAAGATTTTGCACGAGCTCCTCGCCTGCTGTGCTTGCCGGCCGGCAGTGCCCCTCAGCGGCTGTTCCCTCCGGAGAGTGACGGATCACATGGATCTTATATAGAGCCCAGACTTGCCGAGCCTAAAAACTGAGAAATTGTAACTGTTCTGGAACGGTACGGTTCTCCATTCCGACTATTCGATGGAATGACCAGAGGAAGCATCCTCGGGGCGGACAATACCCCTGGTTATCTGTATATAAGCATGGGGTCTTGTCTTCCTCTCTCTCTGTCTCTTTCCCTCTCTTCTCCCTCTTTCTTTCTCCTCATTCTCTCTCTCTTCTCTTTTCCTTTCTCACTATCTCTTAATCTTTTTCTTTCTCCTATCCTTTCAGTCTCTGTTGTCTTCCTATCCTTGCTCTACTTATAAATACTCTTATCTCTGAAGTCAATTACCTATCTGCTCTAACTTCGCTACTGCATACAATCCATCGGTTATGATAGCCTCGTTCTCTACTACGCCAGGGCTGACTTCTTCCTCCAATACAGCCACACTCAGTCTTGGAATTCTTGTGCTTTGGTTCGCTTACTGCACTTTTCGACTCATCTGTTCAATCTACACAACATTGTCTGACTGGAAAGGCCGAATCTACAACAATGTATGCTTTCCATCACTACTGAACCTGTTCAACAGAAACAAACTGGCAGACCTGACAACCGACGCACAGGCTAATCTTCAATACGCCAGCACACCGCATGTGCATCGATATGTCACCAAATCCCCCAATGTTGCTCCTAACATTCTGTTTGCACATGATACCCCAACTACTTCTGGGGCAACCAAATATTCTTCTAAGGTTCTTCGACGAACAACACCAGTTTATCGTCCGAACCCAATGAGTGTGACAACTGTGAAATCTCCCACCAGTACCCCGGCACAAGTTACGATTATTTCCTCGCCATCCGGCATAGAGTTTCCACCGCTTCCACGTAGCACTGACTATGACGCACTGGACACTTGGAAACAAGGGGTAGAGAGAATCTTCCGACGTCATACTTCCTCTGCCACCGAACTACAGGAAACTACGTTCGCAGTATTTTCCCCTACAAAATTTATCGTACCATCGTGCTAATAATACAACGACCCTAGCGTCTTCACGACTCGGATTGAAATCATGGCGAATTACTCAGAGGAACTCGATTGCCCTGAAAACTACTGTCAGCCCCCTGAAAGACAAGGAGCATCATCCTCTTTCAAGGCAGACGGCTACACCTCTCGCTCCAACCACTGGGACTGGGCAACTTCCAGCGGAGACTGTGATGAACCGTGCCCTGGCAGAACACTATGTCAGTCCACCCAGTTCTTCAGATGAAACCCCTGAGCAACCAGGAATTCAAATTGTGTTGGATACGGGAGCCTCCGATCATTTCTTCAACTCTGACATTCTTAATTTCATCACTGAACTTAATTCTGAACCTCTGGAGTTGCAAGTGAATACCATTCTTGGCAGTACACAAAACCAGACTGTGCTCCCAACTCGTAGACAGAGAGCTGACATATTCTCTGTCACAGCAAGGCTTCCTTTTCTGCCTGAGTCAGATCTATCAGGATTTTTCTCGCCAGACTTCATGGTGAATCTACTTTCAGCCGCCCGACTAGTGGAAAGTGGTTACTTTGTTATTCTCTGTAAAAACCATTCGGTCGTGTGCTGTCCTATAGAAAGTACCGGATCAGATGGCTCTATCCTGGTAATTCCTCTTCTCCGTTCTGGCAATACCTGGATCTTCAACTCTAGTCACCAGACAAGGTACTTAATTCGTACATCCTTACTGAACAAATTCTTGCTGTGGCTGTTGAATCCACATACCTCAGAAGTGCCAGACATCGCAGAGGCAGCCTATGTGGACTCAAATAAGAATAAGAATGTGACAGATCAATTGTATCCTCCATTTGCACAGTTCTGCAGCAGCACGCCTACGCTCAACAGAGAATACAAGGAAACTGAAAGATCTGCGACCAGCTCAGCTCCTGAGGGATTGCCTACTGCTTCCCCTGCCGTACCGATTGGCAACACTGACACAGCTAGTAACCATCACAGTACTGAACAATCTCTGTCTCAAAAGGCACAGTTTCTCCAGAAGTTACATCTTAAACTGGGACATGCGAACATGGTTGCCCTCAACAAACTACACTACAGCACGGCTGAAGTTCCGGAGGTACCGCGGAAGTATCTCTGCCTGGATGAAAAATGCCTGTGCTGCCTTAGAATGAAGAGCAAACAGATCCTGGCAAGTAAGCACAACGGTGAAATAACCAAATTGTGTGCGACACAGAGAAACTTTCAACCACTAGAGAAGTTACACGCTGATCTAGCAGGTCCACTGAACATTCGGACTCACAAAGGAGCAAGGCATTTTCTCGTAATCACTGACCAGGCGACACGCTTCCGATGGGTTCTACTAGTTCCCAAAAAGGATGATGTACCTGAACTCCTTCAAAGCTTCTTTCGAGACCTGCTTGCAGAATTTGGCACTAACGTAAAAATACTGATCCTACAAACCGACTGTGGCAGCGAATTTAAGAATCAGAAACTCAACACCATTCTGCAAAATGCTGGAATCAGACCTGAATACTCTTGTCCTTACACTCCAAGTCAGAATGGTATTGCAGAGGAGCATTTCTCGGGACGAATCGCGGTTCGTTCATC